TGTGTGTGTGTGTGTGTGTGTGTGTGTGTCTTTTTTTTTTCCCCTTTTTTTCCTTTTCCGACCGACCGACCCAAAATCAGAAAACGCATTCGACAATAAACGAAAAAAAAGTGGGATGGCCTTAGTTCTCATTAAGCTTTCGACGCGTGGGTGAATTACAACTAGACTGTCAAACGATTAAAGCCTAGGGTGAATTGTCTAGTTGTTGTAGCAGAAAAGAAATAGTTCGGAAACTTATGACACCAATTTTCAAACACCAATTTGAAAGCCATTTCAACGATTGCCTTGCTCCCAATTACTGTGAAATCGAGTCAAACTTGCGCGTTTTCCTGACGGTCGAGCAGTGGATATGCTAATAGTAATATCCGGTATTATATACCACGCGCGTTCTAATTGGATAAACAGCGTTCTCGTTTGTTTTAAAATTGGCAAATATTTCCAGAGTATCAACTACTGCAAACATTCTGAACATTCACCTTGAGTTCAACTTCAGACAAGTGTCTTCTCAGTGTGAGATGTACGGAACCAGTCAACAAGGTATGAATGTAAGTCTTTCACAACTTAGCCTGACTGGCTATTGGCTGTGGAGTGCACCCACATTGGCAGATATATACAGGTATTTTCGTTGCTCATCTCGACCCAAAACAAACGCTAGACTCGCTGAAAACTCGTTGGCCTGATGCATAGAAGAGGTGTTTAACAGCGCGATAGTGATTCCCAACCGAGGCATACGCTATTGACTGATTTTGTTTTAGCTCCTAGACAAGTAAAACAGTCGTAAGTGGAAGCAAGTCTTTTTTAAAAAAGTGTGACCTTAAGTTCGTTGTCGAGTTAGTTGGCCAACCGAACGGGCAAAAATTTACTCATGCATTGAAAATGCCAAGGAAACAACTCGGCAGAAAATCATTACATCACTACACGTGGGCTCCCTTGCGCGTTTTCATATATTATTGTTCAACGTTGTACTGAAACGTTTGCATTTTAACACGTCTTGACTTAATGCAAATTCCGCATCTCAATCACAGTGAACGTAGGTCAACAGAAGTTTGATGAAGTCTTGGCCATCGTCACAAGTTGAAACCTTTGGTCAGAGCTAAAAAGACAAAATTCAGGCGACTTGAACTACAACAGATACAAACTTAAACGAGCCAAAGATCACTAAAACGCAAACTGAGAGGAAACCTTAAACCCTTTGTCAAATTTGAGTACCTACCCTGCATTGTGATGATAATATTTCCAAAACAAACCAACTCTCTCATCCGGGTTGTGACCAAGTTTCTTGCCAAGTGTCACTTAGACAAAAGGTTCGCACTTGATTCAGTTGAATACTTCTTACACACTCACTCCCTTGCTAAAAATTCTGATTTTTCCAACCAGTTACCAACTATTTCCTTTGCTGAGCGTTTTGAGAATTTATGGCACCCATTTGATGATTTTCTCCCAAGTTCTCATCACCTAGCTACTACCTGACATTGCAAGGGATACTCTGTAATGAGAAAGGCTTTGATGATCTATCTTGGTACTGACTGAGTTAATTACGGAATTGAGATCTCAATTTTTTTTTTGTAAAACAACTGTTGAAATAAGTGATTTTTGATGACGTTGTCAAAGGAAGAGCAATGCGATGCAAGCAGTCAAGAATTTTCAAGAATTTTCTTCATATCTAGAATTAATGTGATTGTTAATTTGAGGTCATTTCGTAGTCCGCCTGAATTTCTAAATTTAAGTGATCTGGGATTTATATGGCAAATGACAAACAGGATGTAAAAACTTCCACACTGTGCACCAGTACTTTCATTTTCCGAAGCATTTAATTTGTAACAAAAAAGATTGAGTTCCGCAAATTCAAAGAAACTATTGCTGCATGGCATATAATTGCAAACCAGGTGTCGATTAAAATATACTTTCCCGGAAACTTGCTTGTTGGACCTGTTTTCGTCTCGCGTACTTTCATTGTTCACTCCAGCTTTCTTTTTTTTTTTTTTGCGTCTTCCATATTTAACCCCTCCCCACCCCTGTTCAGCAGACGGCTGCATTTTGCGGGGTTGCATTACTCTGAAATATGTGAGAAAGGTTATGATCTTGTTCTGTGTTACTGGTCTTTGGTGCTGAACCGGACTTCAAGACAGTTAGTGAAGTAGGCTAAGTTGTAAGGTTACAAGCGTTTGAACAAATTTTTGCGAGCGTTGTCAAAGTTGTCAGGTTCAGCTACGCTCTCCTCCCCTGACAAGTCACAATTTTACCCACAACACTCCACTCTCCTGCCACTTCCGTCTTTCGGGGAAATTCCCGAATTTGCAGTATGTAGTATTTGTGCTAAATCTGTATTGATGATTGTTGTCCCGTGCTTTAAGCACAAATTTAAATGTAGAACTTTACATATGGCTAAACTCTACTGAACGGAGCCGTAAGATCTTAATTTTAGCAACCACTTTCCGTAGTTGTTGGCAGCCATGTGAGCCGCTTTGCAGGCTTCCATCTTTTTGGCGGGCAACCTCAAGAAAAAGTTGAGCTGCTTTTCGGCAGTTCAAAGGTAAGTTAACGCACTTTTGACAAAGAAATGTATTCTGATGAACTGAAGGGTATTCAGATTGCTTCCAAATGAATCACAGGACATGACAAGCTAAGCTGTGCGGTCAATGTCGCATTGCTGTTGAAAAATCTGGAACTTCCGACTGTTTGCTGCACATTTGTCACATTTCTAAAAGTGCGAAGCTAATCATTTCCGCAGTATTAAATTCAATGATTGGTCAATTCGCAGCAGAGAATAACTTATCATTTAAGTTTTAGTGGGATTTTTAGCCGGTAAGAATTAAAACAACAAATTTTACTTGGGGGAAATTTCCTGAAGTTAGGATCATGGAATTTGTTGTCTTGTATCCTGTTTATATCCTGTCAAAAACCCCAGTGTCAAATATTCACCGGTCGAAAACATGATTAAGTCATCATTTAGGAAACTCAACTGCAAAGACATCAGAGGTTATAAAATAATCAGGCATTAGATACCGATGATTGTTCCACGTATAGACGGTACAGTGCTGTGTGATGTACCGTTGGCCGTTGTGGATTCAAACACCACGTTGGCAGAACGTGATGTAAACTCGTTGATTTCGTTAGAGTTCAAACTACCTGCATCCTGTGAAAGCCGTTAGCACAGAGTTTTGAATTGAATTTAGTTCTGGACGATTTTTGAACTCTTTGAATCATGAATGTCTTGAGTGAGTGGTCAGTGTTTCTTTATGAGGTATGACATGCTAGTCCCTCAAAACATAGCAAAAGAATCAAGTTAAGTCGTTAATATGACAGGAGAAGTGTTAAAATACCGAGAACAATTTGGCGTAGAATAAGGAGCTGCAATATTGAGTATTTTGGGAAGAAGCTTGCCGAGTGGCTGTAGTCAACTAGAGCTGAAGAGGCTGAAGCCCTCTGTGCCACAAAAGCCCTGTCCAAATGAGAAAAAGTTTGGCAACCAAATGCAATCAAGTATTGTGCACTGAGTGGGCTAACGGTATCAAAGATATACAATGTTTAATAAAGTGTTTGACGTCTTTCAAATTTTATGAGACAAAACGAACAGAAAAATGTTTGGTCGCCAAACAGTGTTTGATCATGTTTGGTTGCAAAACATTTCGCCTTTGGACAGGGCTCTAGGTACTGATAGGATAGCATGAGGTGAAAGCTTGGGTAGACTGAGATACATTGCAGTTGGTTCTAAAGGGTTTCCAAGTCGCTTTGAGTGTCTCACTTTGTTTTGCGTCTAAACATTTTTGTGACCATTTATACATGCATGTTTACACAGGTGACAGGATCTTTCAACAAGCAGGCAGTATTTTTATTTTATAAACATTGTTAGAAGAGATGATTATATTAAATTAAGCAAATAGAAATGTTTTTTACATATACATACTAGGTGATGGAATATGGAAGAGAAAGGAAAAAATCAAGGGAGGGGTGGGTGGAGGAAAGATGTATTGGGTCCGGTGGTTTTGGAACAGTTACACTGTATGAGAACAAGGTAAGTGCATAGATCTTTGATAAGTTGTCTGTAACCATAGATAATCTGGACACTGAGAGGCACTGTCAGAATGAATCATCTCGCACAACCAAGAATGCAACACAGTGAGCTGAAACAATACCTCTGAAAAAGACAGCAATATTGGACATTGAATGCAGTAGTGACCATTACGTTGTGATACAGCCATGGCTAGTTCTTGGTGTAAGGCCTAGTTCACACTAGCAACATAATGACATATAACAACATAATCGCTTTTGTCGGTAATGTGAACATCGACATAAGGACAAGGACAAGGTCAGTTGTTTTCCTTATGTTGTTATGTCCATAACTGTAATGTTGCTGTTATGTCATTATGTCAGAATGTTCACACTGCAAATCGTTATCTTTTTTATGTCATTGTGTTGCTGGTGTGAACTAGACCTAAGACTTGACCATTGTATCCTTGGAAACACCCATCATAACAAATCATAACTAAATTATTGTGAATAAGGTCTTTTCCTTAGCTTCTTGAGACTATCAATAATGTTTTCTCTGTAATTACTTTGTATTTTAGATTACCAAGCAACAGATTGCCCTTAAGAGATGTCGCATGGATTTAAATGCTCAAAACAAGAAGCTATGGCGACAGGAAGTTGACATAATGAAGAGACTGGATCACCCAAACCTTGTGTCAGCTAAAGATGTTCCAGCACCACTGGATGTCAGTGTTGATGAACTTCCTCTGTTGGCCATGGAGTTTTGCTCTGGAGGAGACTTGAGAAAGGTCAGTTACAGTATGACCTTCTAAAACTGTCTAATGCATACAAAGAGCTAGTATATAGATTTATTATACATTGTAGTCACCATCTGTCTACTCATTGGCTAAAAGCCTACAGTTAATTCTGGGAAACAGCGCAACCTACAGCAAAGTCCAAGAGTGTACCCCCAGAGGCACAGCCTTACTTTCCAATCAGAGATGAGCTTATCGTGGACCATGGAGTCATCTTGAAAGGCCTGAGAGTTGTGGTTCCACAGACCTTGCGTAAGGAGTACCTTAGGCAACTCCACAAGGGGCATCCTGGAATGGACGTTAGAAAGAGGAGAGCAAGAGAAACCGTGTATTGGCCTTCTTTGATGCTTGATATCGATTCCAACGTAGCGTCATGCCAGCCTTGCAACAGTGCTCAACCCCACCAGCAGAAAGAACCGCTTCTCATTAACCAGGTTCCAGACCTACCTTGGTCCTTTGTGAGCGCAGACATATTCGACTGGAGTGGACTGCGGTACCTGATACTCGTTGACTCCTACTCCAGTTGGTTTGAGATGAGCACTCTCAGCGACTTATCGTCTAGAAGCGTGATCAGGAAGATGAAACAACATTTTGTTGTTCATGGAATTCCATCCAAGTTGCTAACGGACAATGGTCCACAATTTGCAAGTGGGGAATTCAGAAGCTTTGCCAGCGAATGGAGCTTCGAGCATGTTACTAGCAGCCCCTACTTTCCTCAGTCCAATAGTTTCGCGGAGAATGCACTCAAACAAGCCAAGAGCCTGCTTGAGAAGTGTAAGAAAGATGGTTCCGACCCCTTGCTTGGCCTTCTTAACCTCAGGAATGTTGCAAGGGATCAAGTCCAAGGCTCTCCTGCTCAGTGGTTGATGTCGAGGCGTACCAGATGTGTCCTTCCTGTTGCGAGGAAACTGCTTATTCCAAAAGCACTCAACACCAGGCACGTCTCCTCACATTTGAAGCTTAAATG